TTCACAGTCAACAGGACTCCGGCATCTCCAATGGAGATTGATGAAGGAGCTCCAAAGCATGACTCAGAAGAAACAGTTCGTTCKTGGATAGATGGTCCTTTGGCCAGTTATGGTAAACTTATGGATCACCTAGTGACATCATCTTTTATATTGTCTCCATTCACCAAACATTTTCTTACACAACCCCTTGTAACCGGAGATGTTGCATTTCCACGTGATGCTGAGGTTTTTGTGAAGGTCCTGCAATCTATGATTTTGAAAGCTRTGCTCCCTGTATGGACACACCCACAATTTACTGATTGCGGTGACGAGTTYATTGGTACCGTGATATCTATCATCCGTCATGTTTTTTCTGGGGTTGAAGTGAAAAGTGTAAGCAATGCTGGATCACGTCCTTCTGGTCCTCCTCCAAATGAAACAACTATATCCACAATTGTAGAAATGGGGTTTTCTAGATCTCGAGCAGAGGAGGCTCTRAGACAGGTGGGATCAAACAGTGTGGAGTTGGCAATGGAGTGGCTGTTCTCACATCCAGAGGAAGTTCAAGAAGACGATGAACTTGCYCGTGCACTTGCTATGTCCCTTGGTAATTCTAGAACCGATGGAAAGGATATTGTTACAAGTGAAAGTAGTCAACAGATTGAAGAGGAAACTGTGCAGCTACCCCCTGTCAGTGACTTGTTGTCTACCTGCAAAAAGCTTCTAGAAATGAAAGATTCTCTAGCCTTTCCAGTTCGRGATCTTCTTGCTATGATATGCTCTCAAGATGATGGTCAATACAGGTCCAATGTTGTATCATTTATCCTTGAGCAGGTAAAGCTTTATAGTTCCAATGCTGATGGTGGAAAGAATAACATGCTATCCTCCCTCTTTCATGTSCTTGCTTTGATTCTTAATGAGGATAAGGATGCAAGAGAAGTTGCTTCTAAGAGTGGTCTGGTTAAAGTTGCAGCAGATCTTTTGTCGGACTGGAACTCTTGTACACATGAGAATGAGACATTGCTTGTTCCTAAATGGGTGACGGCAGCTTTTCTTGCTATTGATCAGCTTGCCCAAGTTGATCAAAAGTTGAATGCTGATATTTCAGAGTTGTTAAAGAAAGATGATGTTGGTAACCAGAATGCTTTAGTGATAGACGAGGACAAGCAAAGTAAGTCACAACCAAGTTTGGGATTATTCTCGAAGCATATTGATATTGAAGCGCAAAAGAGATTTGTTGAGATATCTTGTGGCTATTTGACGAARCAGCTTCCTGCTGAAACAATCCATGCTGTTCTGCAGCTATGCTCTACACTGACAAGAACTCACTCWGTCGCTGTTAGTTTTCTAGATGCTGGGGGATTGCCTTTGCTACTATCTCTGCCTACAAGTAGCCTATTTGTTGGCTTTGATAATGTTGCTGCTACTATCATTCGCCATATCCTTGAAGATCCCCAGACTCTCCAACAGGCGATGGAAAGTGAAATACGGCATAGTGTTGTGACAGCTGCCAATCGACAGTCTAAYGGAAGGCTYACACCCCGTAACTTTCTGTTGAATTTGACTTYTGTMATTTCAAGGGATCCTGTGATTTTTWTGAGAGCTGTGCGGTCTGTGTGCCAAATTGAAATGGTTGGTGAAAGGCCATATGTTGTCTTGCTAAAAGATCGTGAKAAGGATAAGTCTAAAGAAAAAGAAAAGGAAAAAGAGARAGGAGATGAAAAAGATAAACCACAGACTACAACTGATGGTAAGATGAGTTTGGGTGATATCAACTCACTAGCTCYAGGTAGCGGGAATGCCAAACTTCCCGAGACAAATACCAAGAATGTAAAAGTTCATCGTAAGCCTTCTCAAAGTTTTGTTACTGTTGTTGAGCTGCTTTTGGAGTCTGTTATTACTTTTGTACCTCCTTCAGAAGACAAAACAGTGGCAGGAGAGGGCTCTTCAGTGATAGATATGGAAATTGATGTTGCTTCAAGTAAGGGTAAGGGGAAGGCTATTGCCTCARCATCTGAAGAGAAAGAAGACAGTGGCCAGGAATCTTCTGCATCTTTGGCCAAGGTTGTATTTATTTTGAAGCTCTTAAAGGAGATTCTTTTGATGTATGGTCCATTTGTTCATGTTCTGCTACGGAAAGATGCGGAACTTAGCAGCAGTCATGTCCCTCCCCTGAAGGGTCCTACTAGTATCGGTGCTGGTGGAATATTTCATCACATTCTTTGCAAGTTTCTTCCTCACTTGAGAAGTTCTAAAAGGGAAAAGAAGACAGATGGRGACTGGAGGCACAAACTAGCCGGTCGAGCGAGCCAGTTTTTGGTGGCTTCTTGTGTGCGTTCTACGGAGGCAAGGAGGAGAATTTTTATAGAGATCAATAATGCTTATATTGACTTTGTTGACAATTGTAAAGTTCATCGGCCTCCTGGAAATGATATCCAAGCATTTGTTGATCTACTTGGTGATGTACTGGCTGCTCGCTCGCCTACAGGTTCTYCAATTTCAGGAGAAGCTTCTGTTACTTTTATAGACGTCGGTTTGGTGAGATCGCTTACACGAACTTTACACATGTTGGACCTGGATCATGCYGAGTCGCTAAAGATTGTACCAGGGCTTGTGAAGGTTTTGGAGCTCGTCACTAAAGAACATRTTCATGCTGCTGAGGCTACTACCGCAAGAGCTGAGAATCCAACAAAACCTYCTGAGCATAGTCAACGGGGGGGAACAAGTAATGCTGGCGATCTATCTCACTCTACAGAAACTGCATCTCTACCTAATGCAAGTTCTGCACCAACTGAAGTTGTCGAGCCTTTTAGCACTGTCCAAACCTATGGTGGATCTGAGCCTGTTACAGATGACATGGAACATGATCAGGATATTGATGGAGGTTTTGCTCCTCCAAGTGAAGATGATTACATGCATGAAACTTCTGAGGATACAAGGGGTCTTGAAAATGGTCTTAGTTCTGTGGGAATAAGATTCGAAATTCAACCTGATATTCGTGAGAGCCTTGACGAAGATGATGAGGATATGTCSGGGGATGAAGGAGACGAAGTTGATGAAGATGAGGATGGAGAGGACGAAGGACAAAATGATCTGGAAGAAGATGAAGTGCATCACTTGCCCCATCCTGACACTGATCAAGATGATCATGAAATTGAAGATGAGTTTGATGAGGACATGATTGAGGAAGAAGATGAGGATGATGAAGACGATGACGGTGGAGTTATACTAAGATTGGGTGAGGGAATGAATGGCATAAATGTATTGGATCATATTGAGGTATTTGGTAGAGACCATAGTTTTTCCAACGATTCTCTCCATGTGATGCCTGTTGAAGTTTTTGGTTCCAGACGCCAAGGTCGTACAACTTCTATATATAATCTTTTGGGGAGGTCAGGTGATRGCTCTGTTCCATCTCAGCATCCACTTCTAATGGAGCCTTCTTCGTCGCGTGTAGTTTCTTCCCGACAAGCAGGTAACTTTTTCTTGTGGATGGTCTTAGCAATATAAGTGTCTTTATACATCTTTACCTTGTTAAGAATCCATTTCTTTTGTTTGGGTAATATCAAATGTTTTTGCTTCATTCTCTGCTACTTTGTGCTGGTCATACTCAGCTTCTTTGTTCCCCTAATCTGTGTTTACTAATTTTTCTGTTTCGCTTCTCCTTCCAGAAAATGCACGTGATGGGCACCTTGAAAGAAATTTGGAGTCATCCTCATCACGACTGGATTCAATCTTCCGGTCTTTGAGGAATGGTCGCCACGGACAGCATGGGCATCGTCTTAGCATGTGGACCAATGACCAGCAAAGTGGTGGATCTAATGCATCTAGCATCCCCTTAGGCCTTGAAGATCTGTTGGTTTCTCATCTGAGGCATCCGACTCCAGAGAAGGGCTCTGATCAAGACAAAATGGTGGAGGCTCAAACTAAAAATGAGTCTGGTCAATCCCAAGGATCAGCTGGGATGGTACCTGACACTGCTGCTGAGAACAATGATAATGGGGATCAAGTTCCTCCTGCTTCATTGAGTGGCTCTCGTGATTCTGGAAACGCACCAACGGTAGATGAAACTCAAGGGGGCACTGATGTACCGGTTGGACAACCTCAATCTGTGGATATGCAGTTTGATAGCAATGATGCTGTTGTGCGGGATGTTGAAGCTGTGAGCCAAGAAAGTAGTGGAAGTGGAGCCACATTAGGAGAAAGCCTTAGAAGTCTGGATGTTGAAATTGGAAGTGCTGATGGCCATGATGATGGGGGAGAGAGACAAGGTTCCTCTGATTTGCGAACAAGGAGAACAAATGTATCAGTTGGGAACACGACATCAATAAGCGTGAGAGATGCAGCCCTTCATAGTGTAACAGAGGTTTCAGAAAATCCTAGTCAAGAAACAGASCAGAGTGATTYGGCTCAGGATGCACAGCGTGATGGTGCTGGTGGTTCTGCGCCAATTGACCCTGCATTTTTGGATGCACTTCCTGAGGAGTTACGTGCTGAGGTTCTTTCAGGCCGACAGGGTCCAGTGGCACAGCCTTCGAATACCGAACCACAAAATGACGGAGATATAGACCCTGAATTCCTTGCAGCACTTCCCCCGGACATTCGAGCAGAAGTTTTAGCACAGCAGCAGGCACAGGGGGTTCACCGGTCACAAGAATTGGAAGGTCAACCTGTGGAGATGGATACTGTTTCGATAATTGCTACATTCCCGTCAGAATTAAGGGAAGAGGTATGTCTTTTCTTCAWATAATACTAGTTGCTTGTGATTTCATCCTGGTTCCATCGTTTTTCTTAATATTCATTTCTTTTGAGTKTTGTCAATCCTCAGGTCCTTCTAACGTCCTCTGATGCCGTTCTTGCTAATCTCACGCCTGCTCTTGTTGCGGAGGCAAACATGTTGCGGGAGAGGTTTGCTCGTCGTTACAATCGGACACTTTTTGGTATGTTCCCTAGAAGTAGGAGAGGTGAGTCATCTAGAAGAGGTGAAGGAGTTGGATCTAGCATGGATAGAACTGGCGGAATCATTACTCGTAGGTCAAGTGGAAGCAAGCCTGTTGAAACTGACGGKRCTCCTTTAGTTGRCAGAGAAGATCTTAWAGCAATGATTAGGTTGCTTCGTGTAGTTCAGGTGAAAATTTGGTATACTGGTTTTCTTCCATACATGCTCACATTTTCTCATCAATCTTTATTTTTGTTTTTACACAGCCACTATATAAACCTCAGCTCCAGAGACTGCTYTTGAATTTGTGTGCTCACGTTGAAACCCGATCGGCTGTAGTGAAAATATTRATGGATCTATTAATGCTTGATATAAGAAAGCCTGGAAATAATTTGCATGCTTCTGAGCCATCATATAGGCTTTATGCCTGCCAAAGTCATGTGATGTATTCTCGTCCTCAATGCTTTGATGGTAAGGATCTTATYAATGATTGCTGGTTACTTGCTTGTAGGAAGCAAAACATTTTTAAGCTAAAGTTATGATCTTTATTATAGGTGTYCCTCCACTGGTGTCACGGCGTGTTCTAGAAACTTTGACATATTTGGCCAGGAATCATTCGTTTGTTGCAAAACTTTTGCTTCAGTTCAGATTCCCTCCAACAGCTGGCCAAGAGTCTGAGAGTCTTGATCAGTCTCGTGGAAAAGCTATCATGGTTGTTGAAGAAAATGAAACAGAAAAGCAGCAAGAAGAAACCTTAGCCATATCAATGCTGTTGAGCCTCTTGAATCAACCACTTTATTTGAGAAGTATTGCCCATCTCGAGCAGGTTAGTCGTTGGACTAATACCCTCTTTTTTCGCAATTTTGTAAGTTCAATATGCAGAGACATTGCAATTGTCTGATTACTGTTTGATCTGTGTTTCAGCTGTTGAACTTGTTAGATGTCATTATTGATAATGCTGAGAGTAAGCAAGCTTTGGTTGAGCAGGGGGTATCTGTTACTGAAGAATCACCTGGTCAGACGTCTACAGTAGATATTAATGCTGGTGGGTCTGGCTCGAATACCAAATCGTCCAAAGCTGATTATACTTCTAAGCCCTCATCTTCTGTTGCTAATACRGAATACGACTCTCATGCTATTCTGCTAAACTTGCCACAAGCAGAACTACGTCTTCTCTGCTCACTGCTTGCACGTGAATGGTAAGGGCAGTCTTTTCGGTTCGGTTTGCTGATTCTGTGTCAAATAGATACATATACATACATACACACATATGCACATACACACACATGCACATACACATACATGCACATACACACACACACACACACTCTCTCTCTCTCTCTCTCTCTCTCTATCTATACCCTTTTCTTTGGCTTCTTATAATCTGCAATATAGTTGTGCATTGTTGACTGTTAAGCTAACCATTCTCTATGAGATGACTCTGAAAGATGGGTGCTCATTTGGTCCATATGTGTTTACTTGTTGCTATGAGATCATTTTCATGTCTGTCTACAATGACTGAAAATCTGGTTTCTACAACTGCATGGCATTCACAATTTTCATCCCTGTGGTTTGTTAATAATTTCAATTTTCATCCCTGTGGTTTGCAATTTATTGCTATTATCATACCTTTAAAGTACAAGGGTCCAAAACAGTAAAGAATTGTAAACCACAGGAACCGGAACAGCAATAAATTGTAAATCATAAGGATGAAAATAGCTATGAATCATAAACCACAGGGACAAAAACCGGAATTTCTAAACCATAGGGACGAAATCGCAATTTTTAACAAACCACAGGAACTAAAAACATAATTTATTCCATTTTAAATTACTTGTGTTAGCATCTTATTAACGACCTCATGCCTGAGACATAGAATCATCCATGCCGTTCATATTATCTGAAAGTTCAAACCCGTATAAATATCACCATGCAAGTGATAGTGGTCATTGTTATTATGGGTGCTTGTTGCCAAGTGCATTGTTTTTGAAAAGTTTTGATGTGGATATGTACATGAATCTGTTCTGTTCTGTTGTGTTGATATTGATTTTGTTTTTGTAGTTTATCGGATAATGCATATGCTCTTGTGGCGGAAGTACTGAAAAAGTTGGTGACGATTGCACCACGTCACTGTCATTTATTCATAACAGAGCTAGCTGGTGCTATGAAGAACCTTACAACAGTGGCCATGGATGAATTATGTCGATTCGGTGAAATTGAGAAAGCACTTATTACCACAACTGCTTCAGATGGAGCAGCAATCTTGAGGGTCATACAAGCATTAAGCTCACTTGTTGCTTCACTTTATCAAGAAAAAGACCACACACTTCCCAAAAAGGATCAAGCTGCCACCCTTTCTCTAGTTGGTGACATAAATGCCGCTTTGGAGCCATTGTGGACGGAATTAAGCACGTGCATCAGCAAAATCGAGAGCTACTCAGATACTTCACCTGATATAATAACTGATTCATCGATGATTTCAACATCAAGACCTTCTGGTGCAATGCCTCCACTTCCAGCCGGCACTCAGAACATCTTGCCATATATAGAATCTTTCTTTGTTATGTGTGAGAAATTGCATCCTGGGCATCCGGGTGGAGCGCAAGATTTTGGTGTGGCTGCAGTGCCTAATATTGATGAGGCCACCACTTCTGATGGCCAACAGAAAACTTCTGGGCCATCGGCGAAGGTTGATGAAAAGCATGTAGTATTTGTGAAGTTCTCGGAGAAGCATAGGAAACTTCTCAACGCTTTTATTAGGCAAAATCCTGGATTGCTTGAGAAATCTTTCTCCCTTATGCTGAAGGTCCCTCGTTTTATTGATTTTGACAACAAGCGATCCCATTTTAGATCTAAAATCAAGCATCAACATGATCACCATCATAGTCCTTTGAGAATCTCTGTAAGACGAGCATACATACTTGAAGATTCGTATAATCAATTGCGGATGAGATCCACACAAGATTTGAAAGGTAGATTGACCGTTCACTTTCAAGGGGAAGAAGGWATTGATGCAGGTGGTCTTACCCGAGAATGGTATCAGCTTTTATCAAGGGTTATTTTTGATAAGGGAGCTCTGCTGTTTACAACTGTTGGCAACGAATCTACGTTTCAGCCAAATCCAAATTCTGTTTATCAGACAGAACATCTCTCATATTTCAAATTTGTTGGAAGAGTTGTGAGTGCATTTGCTTTTCATCTTTGGGGTCGGAACTATATTCGTTCTTTTTCTTACTTTCTGTAGCTTACGATTCCACTTTGTTGTAGGTCGGGAAAGCACTATTYGATGCTCAGTTGCTTGATGTTCATTTCACAAGATCGTTCTACAAGCACATTCTTGGGGTGAAAGTGACATACCATGATATAGAAGCTATCGATCCAGGTTACTTCAAGAACTTGAAGTGGATGCTCGAGGTGTGTTTATTGTCATATTTGAGCAACTTTTGGTGAACTTTTTGTGATATTTTTGAATAAGTTTTGGTGCTAATTYMWTTTKKKKT